GTCTGTGTTTCAGGAAAGTTGAGACCGTTGTGCCCGACCAGTCTGTCAGCATCCCATTGGGGGGCTCCTTCACTGAGCAGTCCTACTGGATCAGAGGGGGGTTTGAGTGACTTAGGGAAACACACCAACAGCGTAAGGGAGACCCCTCAGCAGGTCTTCCCCTTTACCCATTGTGTTACCTGCTGCTGCCGACTGGTAGCGTCCGCCAAGGATTCACGCTAACAGTTTATGGAATAACGCTCTTTATTAATATAAATTGTGACAGGTTAAGGTTCGAAGATTGTTGGTGATAGTGTCTGACTGCAAAAATATATTTGAAGGAATATACAGACAAGCTCTAATCCCCAATAAAATGTTCAGCATGCATAGAGTATGATTCTTATCCAATAGGCATCTCTATGGGGGAGAAGACAGGTTCAGCTTATCAACTGATCCCAGCAGCTACGATGGAGCCTTCCCTAACTTTTCCCCATTCTCGACTTATTTTTATACTATTTCTGTGTGTTTAGGTGGAGCTTGAGTGACTCTAGTCATGCATACCTTTGTTACTGACTGGTGTAAAATTCTCTTGCTTTGCTTTTAAAGATACAGTCAAGAAGAATATAGAGCACATGCCCAGTGAGGGATGGTTGCACTTTGGAGGTGGGTAACTTTGGGATGGAGGTGTGCGTTAATATTATTATTAGGCTTTAATGAAGCAAGTTCATCTAAGGAGAGTGATTTCGCCACAGTTGCTGGCTCAGCAGTAAGACATCTTCCCCTGTCTCCCTTGGTTGACAGGTGGTATGCTGTTTATCAGCTGCAAAGTACCATCGAGTTCCCTTCCCTGCAAGGATTTCTGCAGAGCCTGGCCTTCGCTCCGCTCCACCCTCCATTCCATCCCTCTTAGCAGGTGTGTTGTGTGCGTGTGTGTGGGGAATCATCACGGAATAGGTTCCAAGTCATGCCAACCGCATTCCACCCAGGGAGCAGCAACTGTGATTTACCCTATAATTCCCGTACTGTTATAACTCCTGTGAGGATGCTAATATAACTCCTAAGTTTCCTCTAATTGAATCCCCAGTTACCGGTCCACAGGGTAACCGGTCATTTTCCCGCACCGTGCTTTGCACTGGTAGCTCGAAAGGTGTTGATAACACGCCGGTGTTTTGGCTACTGCTGAGCAATGTTGGCACAGCATCAGTGCTGTCTCTCCAACATTCTGCCCCAGCATCAGTAGGCTGGGGGTGGGCAAGATCCTGGGAGGAGACACAACCAGGTCAGCTGACCCAAACTGGCCAGAGGGATATTCCATACCATATGACATCAGCCCAGAAATAAAAGCTAGGCAAAGGAGGAGGAAAGGGGGGCATTTCTTATTTACAGTGTTTACCTTCCAGAGAAACTGCTACGTGTGCGGAAGCCCTGCTTCCTGGGAAGTGGCTAGGCGGTGCTTGCTGATCAAAACTAGGCAATAAGGTGCTTTTTTTTCCCCTCTCCTTGTTCATGCACAAACTTTCACTTTTGCTTTCGTAAACTGCCTTATCTCAATCTGCAAGTTGTTTTTCATCTCTCCCGTCCAGCTGGGAAGGGGAAGCGACAGAGTTGTTTGCTGAACACCTGGCGTCTAGCCAAGATAAACCCACACCAGTCCTTTTTGGTTCCTAACGTGAGCTGAGACAATGGCAGTTATATATCTTGCATGGTATAGTAATAGCAGTTACTGAGTAGCAAGTTCCTGTGCGGGACATGGAGTTTGTCAGGTACGCTGCTTATCTCTTTGTTTTGTTCAGTTTGGGAACACGTTAATACAAACAGTGGCTCTGTGCTTTGCTGTGACACTGATGGCTTTGTTGTGCTGGAGGAGCTATTTTCTGGGGACAATGCGGGAATCCCTCTCCCTCTCCCTATCTGGGATTGATGTGTATCGTTTTAGAATGCAGGCTCCCGTGTTCCTTGTTCCCCCTCATGTAAGCTGTTGAATACTATTTAATACTATTAACTAATACTGTTGGCGTACTATGGGGTTTGTGGAATCTGGTGTCATTCTGCTGTAAGACAAAACAAACTGTAGGTGAGGAGATATTGAAATGTGCCCTGAAGCGGCTGGTCCCTGGATGTCAGTGTGTGTGGTAGGATTTGGGCAGGCTCCTAGAGTGGTTATCACCTCCCCTTGCCTGGGACTTTACACCTAAACAGGCAATGAGCCCTGGCAAACTGACGCGTCACCTGATAGAAGGGTGCCTTACCTACCCCGATGAAACCCAGCAGCTTCTCGCCCTGTACAGGGGCCTGGCCTATGCCTGTTGAGCCACAGTTCAGTACTGTCAGAGGAGTGTGGCTGAGGCAGGGACCCGAAGTGCATTGGAGGACACTATGGCTGAGATAGGGACCCAAACAACAACGACTACAGTAATTGCCCCCCAGAAGTGTCAAAGAAAAGGGGAATAAGGAGAGCCAAGGAGCGATCAGCAAGACTCACTCACCTTTTTAGTAGTCCCACGTGGCCAGTGCAAAAGTCTGATGGAGGGTGGAGGTTAACAGTAGACCATCGTGGCCTGAATGAAGTAACGCCCCCACTGAGTGCTCCTGTACCGCACATGTTAGAGCTCCAATGTGAACTGGAGTCAAAAGCAGCCAGGTGTTGTGCTGCACTTGGCATTGTCAATGCATTTTTCTCAATTCCTTTGGCAGCAGAGTGCAGACCACAGTTTGCTTTCATGTGGTGAGGTGTTCAATACACCAGGAATCGACTGGACTGCCCCGGGGGTGGAAACACAGCCCTACCATCTCTCATGGACTGATCCAAAGCGTACTGGAAATGGGTGATGCCCCCGAACGCCTGCAATGCGTTCACGACATCATTGTGTGGGGGCAGTGAGGCAGAAGAAGTGTTTGAGAAGGGAAAAAGAATAGTTCAGAAAGTTCTGGAAGCTGGGTTTGCCATAAAGAAAAGCAAGGTCAAGGGACCTGTACGGGACATCCAGTTCTTGGGCGTCAAACGGCAGGATGGCCGCCGTCATGTGCCTATGGATGTGGTTAAGAAGATAGCAACTATGTCTTCACCAGCTAAGAAGATGGAAACACCGGCTTTCGTAGGCCGCCCGGGGTTTTGGAGAATGCCTATTCCAGGTTATACTCAGCTTGTGAGGCCCCTGTATCGAGTGACCCGGAAGAAGAACCATTCTGAATGGGGCCTTGAGCAACAACAGGCCTTTGAGCAGATCAAAGAGGAAATAGCTTGGGCGGTAGCTCTTGAGCCCGTTCAGACTGGACCAACCCTGCAAAATATACTCTACACCGCAGCTGGGTAGCATGGTCTCACTTGGAGCCTGTGGCAAAGAACATCAAGAGAAACCCGAGGTCGACCATTAGGGTTTTGGAGCTGGGGTTACTGAGGATCAGAAGGCCCACTACACTCCAGCTGAAAAAGAAATATTAGCAGTGTATGAGAGGGTTTGAGCATCCTCAAATGTTTTTGGGAAGGACGCCCATCTCTTCTTGGCACTGCAATTTCCTGTGCTACACTAGATGTTGAAAGGAAGCATCCCTTTGACACATTGTGCAAACAGTGCTACTTGGAGTAAGTGGGTGGGTAGCACTGATCACACAACGAGTTTGACTGGGGAAACCCAATTGCCCGGGAATCCATGGAGAAAGGCAGAGGTTTTGGAGAATTTCTTTGAAAAGTCACTTGTGCTCAAGAAGCAGCACCATATAATGAGTTATCAGAAGATGAAAGAGGCCATGCTGTCTTTACTGATGGATCCTGCCTCGTGGTAGAAACCATCAGAGGTGGAAAGCTGCTGTGTGGAGTCCCACACAACGAGTCGTTGAGGTTGCTGAAGGAGAAGAGAAGTGGCCTGTACTGTGTCTCTATAGTGACTCCTGGATGGTGGCTAATGCCCTATGAGGGTGGCTACAGCAATGGAAGAAGACCAATTGGCAATGCAAGGGTAAACCCATTTGGGCTGCTGCGTTGTGGCAGGACATGACTGCACGGATAGAAATCATGTCTCTGAAGGAATGTCACGTAGATGTTTACGCGCCCAAATGCCATGCCACTGAGGAACGTCACAAGGATGAACAGCTAGATAAGGCTGCCAAAATGGAAATAGCTCAGGTAGACTTAGACTGGGAGCAGAAGTGTGAACTATTTACAGCCCGATGGGCCCATGAAACATCAGGACATCTAGGAAAAGATGCAACCTACAGATGAGCTTGTGATCGAGGGGTGGATCTGATCACAGAGGCTATCACACAGGTCACCCATGAATGTGAAACGTGTGCTGCAATCAAGTGAGCCACACGAGTACAATCTCCTTGGAATAGATGGCCAAGCTGGATTTTAAAGATGGTGAGGCCTGGCAAATTGACTATATTGGACCACTGCCATGGACACACCAAGGCAAGAGCTTACATACTCATCATGGTAGAGGCAACTACTGGTTGGCTGGAAAAATACCCTCTAAGCCATGCTATTGCTTGAAACACCATCTTAGGCCTTGAGGGACACATTTTGTGGTGTCATGGTACCCCAGAAAGAATGGAATCAATGAGGCTTGTTTTTGAAATAACCTCCTAAACTCTTGGGCAAAGAAACATGTGGATATATCACATCCCTTATCACCCACAAGCCTCTGGAAAGATTGAGAGGTATGATGGACTGTCAAGAGGGTTGGGCAATCGGGCATGGAAGCATTGGGAGGCAAATGTAGCAGAAGCCACTTGGCTGGTTAACACCAGAAGATCTGCTAACCGCGCTGGTCCTGCCCAAACAAAACCACTACATACTGTGGGAGGAGATAAGGTCCCCGTACTACACACAGGGAAGTGGCTAAGGAGGTCGGTGTGGAATTCTCCTCCCATGGGAAAAGGCAAACCTATTAATGGGATTGTCTTTGCTCAGGGACCTGGGTGTACTTGGTGGGCAATGCAGAAGGACAGGGAGACCTGGTGTGTGCCTCAAGGAGATTTAATCTTTGGTGAAAAATAATCAGTGTGTAAATTTTATGTTGCAGGAAGTCACTTGCTGATGTGACATGAACCGATGAAGAGATCGCTTCACAAGGAGAGTGCGATGATGATCCAGGCAGGGCTGGTGTTTGTGCTGAACAATGGAGTGTGCTGCCTCTTCTGTCCTGAGCACCCATCTTGATGGAATGGAGCCCAAGTCACAGCCTGTTTTTAAACATCTGGAGGGATGGAGGAAGCCCATGAAATGGGAAATAAATATTTATTCTTTGAAAGGACTGGGGACAGTAGTTAATGAAAATGTATGCATCTATATGTTAGGCATATATATAGTTTTAGCATGGAGTTTAAGTTGTAAGTATTGGTAAGAAACAATTTCAGTCATGACAAATAAATTCAATGGAATAATGAGAAGGTAGGTTTAGATCTATATATATCATTCTGTGAGATCTGAGTATGATGCAAATGGCATGGAGTAAGGAGTGGATATTGTATTGGGTGTTACGGCGATCGAGTTAATTTTCTCTACAGCAGCCCTTACAGTTCTATGTTTTGCATCTGTACCTAGAATGTGTTGATGAATCCTCAGTGTTTTTGCTACTGCTGGGCAGTGTTGGCACAGCATCAGTGCTGTCTCTCCAGCATTTTGTCCCCATCAATAGGCTTTGGGTGGGCAAGATCCCAGGAAGGGACACAACTATGCCCACTGAACCAAACTGGCCAGAGGGCTATTCTGTACCATATGACTTCAGCTCAGATATAAAAGCTAAGTTAAGGAGGGAGAAAGGGGCACATTCGGTAATTACGTCTGCCTTTCAGAGCAACCCCTATGCATGCTGAAGCCTTGCTTCCCAGAAAGTGGCTGGACAACGCTTGCTGATGGGAACCAGAGGATAGAATTACTTTATTTTTCCTCTTTACTTGTTCGCACACAGACATTCTCTTTTCCTTTGCTAACCTGCTTTATCTCCAGTTCCGAGCTGTTTTCCATCTTATTTTCTTGTAGGCGTGTCCGGAGGTAGGATGGTCGGGACGAACGGAGACGAGAGATCTCTGAAGCCAGGTCGTGGAATTTGCGGTTTATTGTAAAGGGTGTGGGTGCTGGGGCCCTGCTTGGAGCTGCCGGCCACAGCTCGGAGCAGGCCTGAGAGAAGAGAGGGGTAGAGAGGGTAAGAGAGTAAGAGGGTAAGAGCTTAAGGGAGTAAGAAAGGTAAGAGAGTGAGGTTCCCGTTACAATACAATAAATCTTCTGTGTTGAATATTCTAATTCTCACTAACCAATCTACTACAATATACAAATCCTATAGCATTTACATACAGCCTATAAGAATCATTACATTACCATACTGTGTTACATTTGTAACCCTAAAAACTACTTTTTGGACCTCTTCTGCCAAGCTAGTAGGGTCTGCTCTGACCCTTGGACCTGTCTGCAAGCAGAGGGTATTGTTTCATCAAAAGGGGATTACCTTCAGCTGGCCACACCATTGTTTACCAGTTGTTCAGTAACTAAGGTATCCTCAAAGCTTGCTTTCATTTCAATCTTGCTTATAGTTTCTATATTCTCAAAATCTTTTGCCAGACAATCATATTTATAAGGCTTTCCTGTTTCATCTTCCCCAACATCTCCCCCATTCTGATGAACAACTAAGATATTCAACACTGTCTTACTCATAATTCTTTGCACACGCTGAAGTATACAGGATACTGCTACTAAAACTACAATTATTACTATTAGAATAATCAAGCCTATTTTACAGAGTTCCTTTAGCCAAGGTGCAAAGCTCCAACCATCAAACAAACTGTCTAGCCAAGATGGGTCATCTATTGTAATTTGGTTAGTTAAATCCTTTAGGTTTTGTAGCTGTTTATGAATGGAAACAGAATGATCAGATAAGTTCATACAACATAATCCTTCAAAATCTTCACAACCATGCCCATGTGCTAGTAAAAGAAAATCAACGGCAGCTCTGTTTTGTAAAGTGGCATGTCTGACCGCTTCTTCATCTGTCAACAAATCACTGATTACAGTAGAGGTGGCATTTACTTCTTTGCTGAGCCAACACCCTAACTTGTTTAATTGTGTTAATGCAGCTGAGGAACTCCACTGAGGTAGAAAAATGCTTGCAACAATTGATTTTCCAGAGTTCCAAGGGTGAAAATCGCTATCGCAGTTGCTTTCATATTGATGTCCCCAGGAGGATCTAATCTTTCCACTTTTCTTTTTGACTACCTCTTTGACACTGGGAGCAATTATTGTTAGTTGTCCCAAGGCACAAGGGCCACCATCTATTTTTGAGGGCATACCTTGCCAGGCCCTGTCTCCACAGATGAGCCAAATTCCTTTAGGAAATCAAATAGGAAGTTTGTTAAAACATTCTGCGTGAGGTTCATCATATGTAAGAAGCTTAGTTTGATTACACCAAGAACTCATATTGCTATAAACTGGGTGATATGGGGTAACATTTAAATGAGTGCCATTTTCTCCTAGGAAATGAAAGAAGTAACAGGTATCCATAGTTAATGAGACTAGGATTTCTATCTCTTGAAGGTCAGATTTATCAACTTTAGAATTATCAATATAAGTTTGGTGTTTCTGGCTGGGAGTTGGAGATACATGATGATCATCATATGGCCAATACTTATCAAAAGTAATATTATCAAAACCTTTTGGAAAAGGTACTCCAACTAAACAGGTTGAAAAAGGTTTGTCAGGGCTTGAGTCAGATAGACAGATGGTATCGGAGCCTGCAGACTTGGCTAAAGCAACCCAGACATTCGTCTTTGGTTGATTTACAGGTAAAGCTTCACTACAAAAACAAAAACAAAAGAATAAAAGCAACATGCATTCGCGCAAATGATAAAACTCCATTCTTTTCTTGAGCTGTTTCTGGCATATCACTTTCCCCTGATGACTCTGTGCAGTTCAGGTCTGGGTGCTTGCTTCCTGGTTTCCACTTGAGGGGTCTCTGGCTGATGTGGAGGTGTCGGCGGGCTTCGATGCGTGGTAGGGCTTCACGTTCTTCGCTGGAACCCACTTGAGCCCTCCACATGTGGAAACACACGCAAACCCCTTTCCCCATGTTATAAGAATGTACGGTCCTTCTATTTGTCCTGAATCTAAATTTTTAATCAAAACTGGGGGGTGCTCTTTCAGTTTTGCTTTTTTGTTGTTCAAGAAGTGCCTGTAAATGGGGGGACCAGGCTCTTCTGCAGAGTTATTAAAAAAATTGTAAACATACAAAGCCTTATTCATCCTCCTTTGAGGTGTAGCCTGGGTTTCTCCCCCTTTTTGTTGATCTAAAATGCGTTTTAGAGTTTGATATGTTCTTTCTATCATTCCTTGACTCGTGGGAGAGTAGGGAATACCAAATGTATGCCAAACACCCCAGTCATTTAAAAATGCAGCTAATTCTTGTGAAACATATGAAGGACCATTATCAGTTTTAACTTCTTGGGGGATACCCAAATAGGAAAAAGCTTGTGAAAAATGCTGGCAGACATGCATAGCTGTTTCTTCTGTATGTACAGAAGCAAAAACTGCATTTGAGAATGTATCGACAGAGACATGGATATTTTTAAATTTCTCAAAAGGGGGGTACTTAGTAACATCTGTTTGCCATTTCTGCAAGCTCTCCAACCCTCGTGGGTTGGTGGCTCCTGCAGAAGGGAGAGGTTGAACAAGCTGACAGTCTGGGCAAGCTCGTACAATATTTTGTGCTTGCTCTAAAGTAATGTGAAAATCTCGTTTATTGCCTGTGCATTTTGATGAAAAAATACATGACTCAATTTGGTTTGTTCAATAGTGTTAGGCAAGGTAGTTGCAGCAAGCACCGAGGTAGAATTTTCAATGCCTGTTGCAACTTCCTCTTCAGATGCTGCTGATTCCAATGCATCAGCTCATGCGTTTCCTTCTGCCATAAATCCTGGAAGACCAGAATGAGCTCTAATGTGAGAAACAAAATAAGGATTAGTTCTGTGTGATAGGATTTGGTAGAGACAGGTAAGCCAAAGACACAACTTGTCGCTGTTCACATCCTTTAAAACAGACCCTTCAATTCTCTTAATAATATTAGCAATGTATGCCGAATCAGTGATTAGGTTGAAAGGTTCCGGAAAGAGCTGAAAAGCTCTTACAACTGCTGCGAATTCAACGATCTAAGGAAAACCATCAACTTTTTGAACATCCTGTTCCCAGACTTTAGTATCTTTATTCTGCCATGTAACTACGGAATTGTGCGTTCGCCCTGACCCATCAGTGAAGATAGTGACTGCATCTAAAGGCTCTTCATTGATAAGGGGTTTCTGTTTGTAGTGCAATATAGCTTTGATCATTTTGTGTGCCGGATAATGAATAGAGCAAACGCCTGGAAAATCGAGCAGGGCATACAGCAAGTCCTCTGATTTTTGCATTGCCCAATCAAAATAAGTCTTCTTCATGGGCAAATAGATAACTGCAAATTCATGACCTGCTATTGAAAGAAGCCTTGCTCTGCCTCTGATGATGATTTGAGACATCATTTCTAAAGGTGTGAGGATTGTCTTTGGCGACCTGTAAGGAAGGAAAACCCATTCAATTATTAACAACAGATCTTTTTGAGAGGAATCCTGTAGTAAACCCCATAGATTTAGGAAAAGCACCATGGAGGATATGAACAATAGGAATGCTGAAACAGCAAAAGAAAATTCCTGTTTTCCTGTCCTCCACCCCTTAACCTATCTCTGTAACCCTATAAGGCAATGTCATGTTAACCCCTTACCCATTGGTCAAGCTTGGATCCTTTCCAACCCTATAAAAGAAGCATACTGTACCCCATTAGTTGAGAAAGAAGAAGAGCAGAGACCCTTCACGGACCTCCCCAAATAAAGCCATCTTCGTGGAACAGCCTGCGCCTTCTCCTTCTCCTCTCTCTCCGTCTGCTGCAGCCTCCAGCCCAGGGCACCACTACCTAGCAAGCAGAGCTGAAATCCTGAGAGCTTGCAATCACTATAGAGCTGGTAATCACCATGCTTGCTAGATGGTAGCCCTGCGGCCTTGGCATGAGCGAGCTAGCTTCGGGCACCCGGTCCCTACCCAGGGACTGAGCTCCTGAGCCCTAGTGCTCTGCTTTATGATAAGGCCGAATAAGAGGCTTTATTAAAGTGGCGTCCCAACGACTTCGGACCCCCCAGAGGCGATATCCGTCGGTTGAGCAATGAAGCCCCCCCGGGGTTTTCTGTGATTGCCTGTTTGGGAAGCCGCTCCTTCTGTGAAGGGACTTTTCGTTTTAGAAAATCCTTTCCCCAGGAGGGTCAGTTCGACACTCAAAACTTACATCTGAACGAGAGAAAGTTCCGAGGAGAACTGACACAGCAGACCCCTTCCACAGATCTTGGACCCCAGTGTGGGATCTCAGCACATCGTTCCCGATGTG